TAACCTTACACCTTTTTTGGTACTAATTAATGGCCCGCCAGTTGGAATTGCCAGTGTCATATTAAAAATCTACCATTTTTAGAAGCAAACACACCATAACACCATTTTTTATTTTTTTAATAGTTTCCAACTTTCCCTTATACTAATAAATGCGTGCGTGTAATGCACATTCATATTGGGTAGAATATAATTTGTGTGAGATATTTTGTAAAATATCAATTGTACGATGATATTAGGTAATATATTAATTGCATGATAATTATGTGATTATCACTTATATTGATATTTTGTATAATATTTATTGCATGCTAAACTTATTGAGCACTAGACATTGAAGCAATTTAGGTCGTTGGATTGAAAATAAACTGATGGCTAAGATTAGTTGTATTCCCTTTGGGTCTTTTTTTTATGATATAGATAATATACTAGTGTAACCAATGTTTTTTGTCTCACGGGCTAGGTCAGGTTCGGGTTGGGCTTTCAAACTCCCGACCTAAATGTCAAGCCTAAGCCCATCCCATTATGAAACATCAGAATAATGATGTCTCCTATCAAAACATATTAATTGCCTAGAAAATAAAAACATATTTATTTATTTATTTTTAAATAAAAACTACACTATAATGGTTATATTTTAGAAAAGGAAATTCTAGTGCGAAGGCGTTCATGCAGATGCATCAACACGTGATGTTGCCATTGTCGTATGATCAACTGTGGAGGTCGTGTGTGTGCAGCATGCCAACTAGCGTGAATCTAGTTAGCGGGGGGAAGGAAAATTTGTGGACTCGCCACTCACTATTGTTTCCCCGGAGCGGGTATAACATCCATTCCTCGCACCCATAACTCTTCTCCTGGCCCTTGCCCCAACCTCTGTTGCCTCTAGATCGCACTGCGGAAGCACACCACTGACGCGGTTCCAGCAAGGAATCAAGACCGAGTAACCGCCCCAATCCTCGTTGCCTATGGATCCATCATCTCTGATAGAGCATCAAGCATGTGTGGCCACCCAATTCAGCCTAGCCTCCCGCTATGGCTGCACGCAATCAAAGTCGGCTTTGATAGGAGATCAAGCCCATGCAATGATGCGTTCATCAAGGTCGAGGTATGAGTTGCGATAATCCATTTGTCATGTGATTTGAGGTATGGAGGGGGCGCATGGCGCATTCTTTATTTATGGGGCAAAAAGAGGAGGTGAGGTTTGGGTGGGGAGGCTAGGCCTACAAAGATTAGATGATTTTGGCAGAGGTTACGGTGTTGTGGGATGTTGAATCTTTGATGGGTATGTTCGGTGCGCATATTGATAGATCCATAACAAGGGGTGAATTTCAGTTTGTCTAGTTGCACATTTTTCAATTTTGGAGTTGATGGAGAGACGATGGTGGTGGGAAGTTGATGCACCTAAATGTCACACACAAACACCTAAACAATATGCAACTGGTTCAATTGCATGTTAGGATGGTCGTTTTTACATGACATGAATCACTTGTGATGTTCTTTTTGTTGGCAAGCCACATGTTTCATCATTTTATGTCTATTGTATATGGCAGCATAGTACATGCGTGGATATTAGATGCACTAGATTTTGTTGATTTTTACATTCTGTAGGGGACACCTTTCACACCTTGAGGTGGCTTGATTTGGTGACTTTATGTGACAGACTTTGGCCATCTATAATGATAGATTGTTACCAGCCGCTTGTGCTTTATGTGACAAACACGTGTTGTTCTTTTACCACTTGTGCTGCCATAGATGATAATGTGGCCACCATGATTTTTGTAATCAAATGCCATGTTCTTTATTATGTAGTTGCCATTACTCTTTCAATTTTACCACATATGCTTATAGGTTGTCCTTGATGTTTCTGGAATTATAAAGATGTGTATACCAACTTGCCAGGATGACAAGCTTTTATACTATATATTATGTTTTTATCTCAACAATTTGCCACATTGAACTTTTTGCTCATGGTTTCCTTGTTTTTATTTTTCATGTAGGGCTTATGGCAAAGAAACAGAACACAAACTCAACATCCACATCCCCTAGTATTTGTAAATTGGAAACCTGATAACAAGTTAGTTTCTTTCCTCACCCTTATTTATTGCTACGACACTAGATACTTGCCCAATTACGCGGCCCGTTCCACGCTTCCACGCTCTCTAATGTGTTCATTTGGGTCCATGTATAGCAGACTATCGCAGTGTAGTGTTGTAGCACGCACATTCTTGCACTAGTGGAGTATTTAAAAAATGATTTTTAGGTATTTTATGCTTTTATCAGGCTTCCAACCGGCTCAGAATCTTGTTGCCTTGTGCTCTGAGAAACTAGAGCCCAAACCTGACCTAACTGTTGGGTTTTCAAGTTCGGTGCAACAATTGTAAGAATGAGAATGGCACTACTCTCTTCATATCTCCGGATATTTCACATCAGAATCTTCAATCATACTTCTATCTCGAGTAGCAAAATAAGGACACCCAACCCTGGATGTTTTGATCGACCTGTGGCCCAAGCGGCGCCCTTTCTGGACAAAGTCCTCAACCTATCCGTGTCTAGGTTGGAGACATATGCTTGTAGAACATCTAACATGTGCAACTGATCCAGGTTGGGCGAAAGTTTTATGAACTAAGGATTCTTCCCTAAGGTATTATGTAACCTTTACATGATATAAGATTTGCCAAAGCCATAGTACCCGAGGACGAACCTAAAACTTATCCGTGATTGGGGTTGGATCTTCCTATCTAACCTACTCGATAGTGCGGTGTTTACATATCATTGCTTTTTTCAACCTTCCTCAAAACGTTAGAGTAGAATTTGGGGCCAAGACCTTAGGCTAGATCCCAAACCACCAAGGGTGTGGGTCCACCCATGATCCCCACCAATGTATGCAATAGGTACTATGTTACTTCACTCACATCTTTGCCAACCTCATCTTACTCTACTTTTTTGTTTTGTTATGATTTATGAATTTTTGAAATTACAACTGGTAACTATTACAAAACCTAATATAGTGTGTGTATATATATATATATAGCAAAGGTACTATATACTGGACATAACTAGTCAATTTAAACACGGTAGCCCACCAATCGTAGGCAATGTCATGCATTGCAACGTTAACCATATTTTGCACCATCATATAGTGTCAGAATTTGCAGTAACCCTAGCATATCCCCTCCCCTTTGTGTTGCCACCCTCATCCCACCCATTTCCTCATTTGGGGAAACCCTAGCATATAGCATTGCCTTCGTGCCACCAGCCTTATCCCACTCATTGCCACATCAAGCGATGTTTATAAAATGTCACATTAACTAATCAATAACTATAACTATACAAGCTGAAAGGGGGTTTATGTTTTTCTGCTGCCTTTAGATACACTCATCGTTCCTCCTAGCCCACTCATGCTTTATCTCTGCACTTTGACTGATCTCCTTGCCTCCATGTCACTCTGCTTCCTATGCGTACCCACCTAGCACTATGTCTATCACAAGGGACACCTCCCTAGCGGTCTATGTTGCTATTGTCCTTTTATGTCAACGAACTTTCATTGAACAAACCTATGACCGGGAATGATGTTCTATTCACCTAAACATTGATCCACCACCACCTCTTTCCAATCAAATATTTTCCTTCTAGACCCACCACTATGCCATGACTGCTCACCACTGTAACAATATATCTCATACGCCTACATGCCCATCCACATCCTCCATGATGATAGACGCCTTGCTTTGTTGTTCCCGCGTTCTCCTACATTGACCATTGATGTTGGAAATTATGACCTAAATTGTAAACCGTGTAAAAGAATCATTGAAGGGTCTATGATCACGGTACCGAAAACAACAGTTGTCCCTCAATTTTACATATGATGAGTATTCAGGAATTTGATTTTGTTTCTCTTTCTGAACTAGGCAATAGAGATCTTTTACAAGACATCAAAATAGTAAGGACTGCTTATTTTTCACATCCAAAGGTTCAAATCAATCAATAGTTCAATACCAATTCCTATTGTAGGTAGTATTTGTCTCCTTGAGGGAAAAAATTTCATAGGCTAAATAGGTGCTCAAAATTTGGAGTGAAATATTTTTCTTTTGTAGAGCTCTTTGAATATTTTTTCCTATATGCAATCTTGCAAACACATACAAAGTTTGAGCGTATTTGATTCAGGAAATTTCAGTTTTTTATTTTTTTTATTTTTAATATATTGGTCATTAGGGTGTAGGACACCCATGAGGTAAAAAATGAAAATCGTGAAAGAATAAATAATTGCCTTGTTACATAAATGGAATAGTCGTGCGAAAAATGAATCATGTGAAAAATATACGTCTTCACTAGTCTTGTTTTCGTCTTCACCAGTCTTATTTCCGTGTTTTAGCTCCTGGAAAGAAACATGCACGAGGATGTCATGTTTCGAACAGGCACGAAACACTCGCTCCCTTCTTCCTTCAACAAAACTGCACGAAACACGACTAGTGAAGATGGAAACAAGACTAGTGTAGACGTATATTTTTCACATGATTCATTTTTCACATATATATTCGATTTTTTAAGTAGCCAGTTATATATATTTTTCACATGATTCATTTTTTAGCACACATGTCCAAATAGCTAGGCAAAAACGAAAATAAGAGTAGTGAAGACTGTGGACGTACTCCTCCTGAATCTGCAGCCATCCGTGGAAAGAAACACTTGAAACCCTCTCTCTCCGTGCTTTTCTTTCCTTTTGAACCCCTCCCCTTTCCTCCCAACTACTATATATATCAAGCGAATACCGTCGCGTTCCATTTCACAGATCTAAAATCGCTCCCAGCGGAACGACGTCCTTCCAGGTAGCACAGATGTCAATCGCTCGTTTTATACATGCCAACGATCCTAGCTTCCTAGATCTCGTAGCGCTCATATACGTTTTATACATGCCAACGAACCTAGCTTCCTAGATCTCGTAGCGCTCATATAGTTTTGCTTGTGTCTGATGCGTATAGAAACAGAGAGCAACGTCGTCGTCAATGGGAATGCTGTTCGGCCAGCAGGCGGGGCGGCGCACCCCGGTGTGGCTGGGGCCGCTGCTCGGCGCGGAGTTCTTCAAGCGGTGCGCCGATCACCCCTATCTGGTCAAGAACGAGTGCAACCATTACTGCCTCGACTGTGCGGGCGAGGACGACGCCGTCTGCTGCACCCTGTGCGTCTCCGGCCACCGCAACCACCACGTCGTCCAGGTACGTAATTAACGCGTATAAGCTAGAGGATACTCACGTCTCAGGCAATCGCTAACAACGGCGGCGGCGGCGGCCGCGCTGTGGATGGATGCAATTGCAGATACGGAAGTCGTCGTACCGCGAAGTGATCCGGGTGGCGGAGCTGAAGGCGGTGGCTGACATCTCCCTGGTGCAGACGTACGTCATCAACTACGACAGGGTGGTGTTTCTGAACCGGCGGCCGCAGGCGCCGCAGCATGGCGTCAAGTGCGTCGGCCCTGCCGGGGCGTGCCGGGAGTGCGGCCGGGGACTCGTGGACGCCAACTTCCGTTTCTGCTCACTGAGTTGCAAGGTACATGCATGCACGCGTCCTCTCATAATTGCCTTCCATGTTTGTATGTTCGCTGTGAGGGCACCACGTGGCTAAATACTGGAGTATCAATTAATTGAAATCGATCTTTGAATTGGACGGACAAGATCCGACGTTAGAAGGCGTAGTATAACTTTTTATGAAACGTTCGCCTATCATTTTTGGAAAGAGAATACTAGTGGATACGGCCAGGATGCGGATCTGATTGACAGCTTTGACGTACGCCGCCCAGCTCACGCTGGGCTCGCACGCTGCAGCCTCCAGGCTCCCACGTTACCACGTATTAGCTCGCACGCGATCTAGCCTGCGATCCGATCTGGTCCCGAGCACGACGGCCATGGCGCATGACCCATATCTCGATCAACATGCCGGAGAGAGGCCAACGTCACCATGACACCATGTCAGCGCCGGCGCCGACCGCCACCGCCACGTCGTTCCACAGCCGCAGCACAGTGTCCGCCTCGGCGGCGTCATACCCTGTACATCCCTAGCTTCACGTCCACCGCGCGGCTAATGGTCTCATTAGGCCAGTGCTCCGGCACCCAGTCCGCGAGCACCAAGAGGTCAACCTGGCCAAAGACTTCCTCCTCCATGGGCCAACCTCCAGGAGGAATGGCGCCGACAGAGGTCAGGTCGGAGAGGGCCGTCACGTGGCAGGAGTGCATCAACTCTAGCGCTAGGTCCATGGTGCTAACCATGGGCGTGCTTTGTGGATCAGCGCCATGGTCGTAAAATCTCGCGAGGCCAAGTCGCCAAGTCATTAGCATTGAAACATCACTTGTCTTGTCAAGCCTCCTCATCATGGATGTGAGTGATGAGGTGCATCGGTGTAGATGTTTGTTGGTTTCAATGGATAATGTTTGAAAAGAAAAAGTAAAATGCGAAACGAATTGTGATACCACGAGTAATACATCAGTACCAAATTAAATTTTAAATGGATAATGTTTCAATGGATATCTGTTTTTCTTCATATTTCCGCGGATGCAGAGCCATATATCAGTACCAAATTAAATTTTAAAAGTCTCAACTTATTTTTTTCCGTGATATATATCCATAAAAAATTGATTCCTGGTGGGTTACGATGGTTGCTGCGGTACCCAAGGACATCAAGCCTCGGCGAAGCGGTACAACGCTATATATGATCTGAAATATTTGAAACGAGCGTAACCGGTGCATTTTCAACTGCACCAAGCTAATCCACCTTGAGGTGCCCGCCCTGGCATTCGAGGATATCAAGCAGTGGCAGCTGACATGGCCGGGCTCATGCCACGGTGGGGGTTAGCTAGTTTTCTGCGACATTTTAGCTTACAGTCGGGATTGCCAGCGTGTTCTCTTAAAAAATTCGTCAACTTTGTACATATTACTTCATTCTTTTCTATGTGAAAAGGCAGTGCTTCTATCGGTTCCTCCACAAAAAAGAAGAAGAAAACAATTTCTTTCATACTTTTCTTTTATAAAAATAACAATTGTTCAAGTATGGATAGACATCCACCCAAGTGATAAAACCCATTATATTCCTGGAGTAGTTTAGTTTTGTCTTATTTGCTTTAAACTGCTAGAAACCCATGTATCGCTTGTTATGACACCAGGTATATCCACAGAAAAAACACCTTTTTCATTACTTATATTTATTAATATGCATATTCAGTATCGCGGGTGGACATTCTCCAATGTGATAAAATGCAGTATATTCTTGGAGTAGTTTAAGTTATGTCAAATTTGCATGCACTAGCTAGCTAGTCTATATACTTTACTGATGCAAATTTATGTTTTCTTAATGTCAGCTTGATGGAATGGTGTCAAATCCCAATTTGACATTCATGATTGATCCGAGGCGCAACCGGGGAAATTCAGGCTCAAACACAGAAGATGAAGGCGAGGCCGATGATCTGCAGGGGCCTAGCGACCCTCCGTGGGGATGGATCAGCTACCGCCGCCGGCCCCGGAAGGGTGTCCCTGAAGTGGCACCCTTCTATTGTTCTTGGTTGTTTTTGGTCAGTTGTCACCAATTTTGACAATGTTTTCATTTCTGCGTCATTTCAAGAACAACAACCTTTTTCATTAGAGAAGTGTTGATCTTTTCCCTCTCATGGTCTAGAGATGGGAAAAGACTGATATTTCCATTGGTTCAATAATGGTGAGGTAGCTGCCTCAAAGATACATTATGCAAATTGTAATGCCAGTGTCTCGTACTTATTTGTAGTATGGCTCTATTGCCATTGTCTTGGTATTTTTATTTTATAATGGATCCAATGATATCGTGTTGATATTTTATTTAAGATAAAAATTATTTTGCACTTAAACTGTTGTTTTAGTTTCTTGTTCAAAGAAAAATTGAGCTTAGTTTACCGAGTCAGAATTGTCCTGCAGTGCAGCTCTCCTCCCCACGTCCGCCATCCAATTTGTTTGAATAAATGCTTTAAAAATGCAACAAATATATTAAATTAACGCATATTGTTGTGGTCTAAACTTAACGAACGTTTTTTAGAAATATGATCATTTACAATGGTGCAAAAAGGTAACGTATTTTCTTTTGCTTTCGCACAGATTACAAATAGTTATATTTTGTTACCAAAATCTACAGTGAAATACTTGATGCTTTAACTTACACGTAGGATTTCCTTAAAAAAACTTAGACGTAGGATTTAGTTTTGGACTTCTGTAAATATTCTTGCAAACTCCTCTCTCCTGGAAACCACCAGTGGGGCTAAAGTGCTCGAAAATGTGATAGTTGATATGACAAAGTGAGCCAAAAAGGGGAGATATTGACCCAAAATAATATTTTAGGAGGAGCGATTTTTTTTTTACTTTGTTGTGATGTGACTCTAACTCTAGTAGTTGGTAAACTCATTTAATTATCTGTAACAATACAAATTCACAATTCTTTAGTTTTTTTTTTTGAAAAAAGAGATATCTCACGATTCTTTAGTTAAGGAAGGACAATCCGAAATAGGTCTATTCTTCCAGCACTGCTAGCTTTCGGTTGGTTATATGATGTTTTGTTTCATATAAGTTGCATCGACAAAGGTTCGTCTGTTCAGACATGGTTTTGCCCGTGGGTTTTTAATTCGGTTTGTATATGGAAATTGAGTGATACTTAATCTACCGGATGCACACAAAAAGTATTCTACAATATCCTAACATAACACTTTTATTACTTATATAAAGGATGTTGGAGTACCCATCTCCTGGGGCATCACCATGTGAGACGTGAGAGTGACTCCACGTTGTTTGTTTCACACGCACCTCCTGCTGATGCCCCCCGGGCGCACTCCATGTCGTCCAATCTTTGAAGCCGCCTCACACCCAACCGATTTTCCTCAAGCTCCATGATACATGGGCCGCGGGCGCGCTTGGGCCAGTTTTATGTGGTGCTTTTCATCGCCCCTACGTGCACCGTCTCATGCGCGGCGCGTGCCGCGTGAGCTCGGGTCATCCGTCGGCACCACTCGTGTCGTGCCGGGCTAGTTCGTCCAAACGAGACAGGTGCACACGTGCGTCCGACTCGGAGTTTTAAATGCTCGGACTTGTCATGTGAGGGGCTTGGTTGGCCGCCTTTGTTTGCGTAAACCCGGATCGCCTTGCTACATGCTTGAGCTCTATTTGGCACTTTCACCCATGTTAGGCTTGCCTGGACCCTTTTCTTCTCGGGGCCTGGTCAGCAGGCACATATGGGGCGCTTTGCTGGGTAAACTATCTGTATGTTGCAAGTTGCTAACTGTTTAATGAAATGTAGCCTGTTGGTCCAACCGACTATTGCACGTTGTCTGTGATGGCTGGCTGGTGGAGTCTGCCTGTGTTGGGGTGGTCGGTTATGATGGTTGAGGTAGTTTGCCGTCGGTGTGTGGTCGCTATTCGGTTTGCCAGCTAGATTCATTCGTCCATGTATCCCTTTTTTCCGGCGTTCATGTATTCTTCATCGTCTTATTGAACACGCTGACATGTTTTTTAGCCGGATATGTGTCTGTGTGCCAGGCGACGGTTCTTATGGTTGAGGTCATTCTTCATGGCAGTGTGGTCGGGTGGCTGGTTCAGATGGTGCTGGTTTGGACGGGTAGCTTTTATTTTGGCTACCTCTTGCTTCGTGCCCGGTGGGCTGGTGTGGGATGGGACATCTAACGATCCTCCTCTTTTCCCGTGCTCAGCTTTGCCTTCTCTGTACGTGGCGGGCTAGCGTGCGATGGGACATGCAACGTTAGTTGCCAATGCCAATTTACTCTTTCCCCTTCACCTAGGTGTTGCTAGCATGGGCGTGCCCATACATTGCGGGTGTTGGCGTTTGATATGCTAGTAAAAGTGTGTTTCCTACTCGGTCATTTATCACCCATTTGCTCCACGGCTAGCCAATGTTATCCTTGTGGTCCCGCATGCCAGTGTGTGCATAAGATTTATTTCGAGTTGGTGCATTTGATGTCGCTTGCTTCCTCGTGTCCTTTTCGTACCACCCTCGCCTTCCCCTTCACTGAAAGTGCTAGTTATCGCCTATTCACCCCCTCTAGTCAACAACTAGCACTTTCAATTGGTATCAGAGCAAGGTTCTCCCTTGTTCTGTGTGATTCGGTTTAACCACCTGGAATTTTAGCTATGTCGATTGCAGGGATGATCAAAGTCTCCATTGCGTGCCCTGTCTTCGATGACACTGATTACCCCTACTGGAAGAATAAGATGCGCATGCATCTTGATGCCATTGACATCGACCTCTGGTATGTCATCAAGACTGACATTCCCAAAGTCGGTGAAGGGGTCACTGCTGCTGATGTCAAGAGGTTCACGCAAATGGACTCAACCGCCAAGAACATCATCTGCGGTCATCTGGGCAAAGGGAAGTATGGCCATGTGAGCGCTCTGGAAACTGTGAAGCTAGTCTGGGACTGGTTGTCCAAGGTTAACGAGGGCGTCTCAATATAGGGAGACTCAAGAATAGATGCGCTTTGCAATATCTTCAATCGATTCAAGAGGAATGACAATGAGAATGTCCAGCTCACGTTCGACCGCCTCACTGATATCACAAATGAGCTTCACGCACTTGGCGCCACTAAGATCACCAACCATGAAATAGTGAAGAAACTGTTGGGGAACGTAGTATTTCAAAAAAAATTCATATGATCGCACAAGATCTATCTAGGAGAATCATAGCAATGAGCGGGGAGAGTATGTCCATGTACCCTCATAGACCGAATGCGGAAGCGTTTATTAACACGGTTGATGTAGTCGAACGCCTTTGCGATCCAACCGATCCAAGTACCGAACGTACGACACCTCCGCGTTCAGCACATGTTTAGCTCGATGACGTCCCTCAATCTCTTGATCCAGTTGAGGACGAGGGAGAGTTCCGTCAGCACGACGGTGTGCGACGGTGATGATGAAGTTACCAACGCAGGGCTTCGCCTAAGCACTACGATGATATGACCGAGATGTGTAACTGTGGAGGGGGCACCGCACACGGCTAAGAGAACACTTGGTGTGCCTTTGGGGTGCCCCCCTCCCACGTATATAAAGGGGGAGGAGAGGTGACTAGCCCAAGGGGGGCGCGCCAGGTGTGGGGAGTCCTACTAGGACTCCCTAGTCCAAGTAGGATTCCCCTCTCCTTTTTTCCTTTTTCAGAATAGCAAGGAGGGAAAGAGAGGAGGAATAGGAGAGGGAAAGGGGGGCGCTGCCCCCACCCCTTGTCCAATTAGGATTGGCAAGGGGGGGCACCTCCCTGGCCGGCCCTCTCTCCTCCACTAAGGCCCATGTGTGGCCCATTAACTTCCGGGGGGGGGGGGTCCGGTAACCCCCGATTCTAAGAAACTTATCCGATACTTCCCGAAACCATTCCGGTGTCCGAATATAACCTTCCAATATATGAATCTTCACCTCTCGACCATTTCAAGACGCCTCGTCATGTCCGTGATCTCATTCAGGATGCCGAACAAACTTCGGTCATCAAATCACATAACTCATAATACAAATTTTCATCGAATGTTAAGCGTGCGGACCCTACGGGTTCGAGAACTATGTAGACATGACCGAGACACATCTCCGGTCAATAACCAATAGTGGAACCTGGATGCTCATATTGGCTCTTACATATTCTACGAAGATTGAGGGAGTCCTGGATTAGGGGGTCTCCGGACAGCCGGATTATATCCTTTGGCCGGACTGCTGGACTATGAAGATACAAGATTGAAGACTTCGTCTCGTGTCCGGATGGGATTCTACTTGGCGTGGAAGGCAAGCTAGGAAATACGGATATGTATATTTCCTCCTTTGTAACCGACCTTGTGTAACCCTAGCCCCCTTCGGTGTCTATATAAAACGGAGGGTTTTAGTCCGTAGGACAACATACAATCATACCATAGGCTAGCTTCTAGGGTTTAGCCTCTCTGATCTCGTGGTAGATCTACTCTTTTACTACCCATATCATCAATATTAATCAAGCAGGACGTAGGGTTTTACCTCCATCAAGAGGGTCCGAATCTGGGTAAATCATCGTGTTCCCTGCCTCCTGTTACCATCCGCCTTAGACGCACAGTTCGGGACCACCTACCCGAGATCCGCCGGTTTTGACACCAACAAAGATCTTTATCGGTCAAACCGCATAACAACATACGTTGTTCCCTTTGTCATCGGCATGTTACTTGCCCGAGATTCGATCGTCGGTATCATCATACCTAATTCAATCTCGTTACCAGCAAGTCTCTTTACTCACTCCGTGATGCATCATCCCATGACTAACTCATTAGACACATTGCTTGCAAGGCTCATAGTGATGTGCATTACCGAGAGAGCCCAGAGATACCTCTCCGACACACGGAGTGACAAATCCTAATCTCGATCTATGCCAAGTCAACAAACACCACCGGAGACAATTGTAGAACATCTTTATAATCACCTAGTTATGTTGTGACATTTGATAGCAGACAAGGTGTTCCTCCGGTATTCGGGAGTTGCATAATCTCATAGTCACAGGAACATGTATAAGTCATGATGAAAGCAATAGCAATAAAACTAAATGATCATTATGCTAAGCTAA